TTATGATACGAAAAATGTTATTTAAAAATAAAACAATAAATCTTTTAATATTTTAACTTTATATTTTTAGCTTGTCGATTTATTTTTCTTTACATATATTATTTTAATTGCAATGGTTGCATATGGTGTTGCATCTCGAGCTATGTATAAATACAATGAAGATGCGGATAATGATGATTTAACATTTGATGGTCGTTCAATTTTTCGACATGTTCTCTATCCAAGTTATTATCTTATGTATGGATCAACAGAAAACGAATTAGCAGCACTTGATCGTATAGTTTTTATTTTCATTTTGATAGAAAATTATAAATTGGAAAATGCACTTTTTTTTCTAAATAGGAAATCGAGATCTTGGTACAGCTATTGCTACTCAAATTTTATTAGCTTTTCATATGTTATTTGTTAATATTCTTCTTATTAATCTTCTTATTGCTATGTTTAGGTAAGTATTATTTTATTTTATTTATTTTTTAAATAGTGAATGGATATACCTATTTGATATTAGTTATACATTTGAAACAGTTCAAAGTCAAACTGATCATGTATGGCGTTATGAACGATATTCATTTATTCGTGAATATTTTGATCGATCGCCACTTTTTCCTCCATTTATTATCATAAGTCATTTAATTGAACTTATTAAATTCTTGATAGGACTTTGTCAAAAAAGAAATAATTCAAATATGAAAAAAAATCAAGCAAAAATATTTAGTAAATTAATAGAAATCGAAAATAATTTAAATTTTAAATTTTACTTTGTTTTTGTTTTAAGAAATGATTGCTGCTAATCATGAAATAGATAAAGATTGGTCAGAATTTGAAAGTTATGCAACAAATCTTTATGCTCGAACAAAAGTTTCTGGTACATCTTCATCATCAGCTACTGTTGTGGCATCCAGGACACGTCAAGATGTTCCACCTACAATATTAGATACAATGAATACTTCACCATCATCGTTAACTATAGATTTGAAAGCAATTACTGATGAAATTGCATCGATTAAAAAAGTTATTGGAGATCTTCGAACATATACTGAAGAAGTTAGATGAGATAAAAAAAAACTATTTTTAAAATGATTTGATGTTCTTTCTATTTGTTTTTTTGTAGATGAACAGATCTATGCAATCGATGATGGATGTTCAGGAACGAGTTAAAATGTCAAAAGAACTAAAACCAAGAATAAGATCAGCAATAACAACTAATGGTGAGATTATTGAATTTTTTTTTAATTTTATTTTTATCTTCTTATTTCGTTAGATCTATATGAAGTGGACGATTAAGTTTTATTTTGATTAAAATCTATGTATTTTTATTATATTGATTTCAAATGTGTTGTTGTCAATCAATTTTTCTGAACATTTTCGAAAGAACTAATGAAGATTGTCATGTTATTAAATAATAACTAAATTGAATGACTATCTTTTAACGAGTATATTTACTTCTTCTTTTATATAGTGAATAATTTTGCAAAAGAGATCACTTAATACATAAAAACTATATTTTCATATGGTATAGTAGTGATGAATTTCTATTACACGAGTCATACATAAAAATTGACGATGTTAGCGTTGTCAACATTTCTATTTTTCTGACTTCATTATAAGAAATATGCTTTTTGTGAAAAATGTTTTTCACAAAATTGTCCTAGAGTTTTATGTGATTCAACTCTTAACTATTTCTAAATACATGGCAAAATCTCTCTAAAAAAAAATGATAAAAAAATTCTTAATGAACAACAACCGTTTCTTGAGCTATCTCAACAATTATAATTGTAAACAAACTTATGCAAGCTGTAAAGTAACATGTTGGCCGAAACAGTATTACACTATGTGAGTTTAGGTAAAGAAAAGGCCCATAAATATACCTCGTCTGGTTAGTACAATACATTATATGTACATCTATTCAAATCAATTACTATAACGTTACTTTATTCCTGATCCTGTCTTTACAGTGAATTGTGACCCATTGACTTGATATATTTCACTGTAAACAGCTGTATTTTTTGACCAGGTAACTGTATCCAACAAGAAACTTCAGTTGAGAACTAGAAAAAGTAACACCAACAAGAATGTAAAACAACACACACACGATATTTTTGAAATTTGATTTAATAAAAACTAAGTAATATTTCTAATTATGTTAACTTAGTGAAAGTGAACTTCATGAAAATGTTAATTTTTTACTGCTTAAAGTGTGTATTCTCTATGATTCAAGATGATGAAATCTATTGAATACTATGAATTAGAATTGTGTTGCATTGATATAGTACAATCACTAACAAATTATGTGCATGCTAAAGATTAAAGTTTCAAACAAACGTTTATCAAATAGTGTGAAAGTTTCGAATTGTCACTTTTCCTTCCTTCTAATCAGTAAAATATTATAGTCTAGACGAATTCTTATCCATCATATACAGAATATCAATTATAAATACATTTTTTTAATTTATGCTATTTTTTTCAAATACGCTATCAATTATAGAATAAATGGTATAAAAACATAAATTAAAATGCTCTAGAATAGTTCATATTTTCAAGACAATATATTTATTGAGATAAAAGAAATGATGTGTATTCTTTATCAAAAAGTTCATAATTGTAGTATAACTCTGGCGTATAGTTCTAGATGTACATTACTTTCTTGGTTATGTGCGATGACATGAAGTTCGGGCTTCGAGGAGCAATAGAAACATTTGAGTGTTTTCGAATCAAATGAAAAAGCACTGTGATAGTAGCGATAACCACATTTGAATTTTGTATCTCTAATACCGTATTCATGACATTCAATCCATAGCCATACATTGAATGCAGCTTCACCAGGATTTATTCCACTTCGAATAAAGACATTCACACTAACCTTTCTTACTGTAGATGGAAATATGATGTTAAGTGGAAACGTGACTTGTTCAAGTGTATTGAATTGAAATTTGCCAAGTGAATATGGAATAACTTTAGAACTCCTCAAACTGACGTAAGATAATTCTAATATTATCAATGATAATAAATACATATTCATTATTAGAGTAATCACTTACGTGTACCATTGTTAGCAGTACTATGAGTGATGAGGAGAGTGAGTAAAAAAGTTATAACCTTCATCTTTTCACAAAATCAAAATGAATGTGTGCTTGCTTTAAACGCAACTTTAGTAGTATGTATTTTCATTGCATAAATATCC